TCTCAATGCCCCGGTGTCCATTTTGGCGGGAGGCTTGAACAAGGGCGATGGTAAGTACCTCCAGGAGCTCAACAAGATGCTCAGGTTTGCAAAGGCCAACGGCCAGGTGGCTTTGCGCATCGCGAAGATCGCCCCTAGCGTGGAGAAGGTCTGCTTCGTGTGCTTCAGTGACGCTGCTCTGAGCGTCAGGAGCGACCTGTCTAGCCAGGCGCTTCATGGTCGTGGCGTGCAATGAGGAGGTGCTGATCGGCAAGGCGGTACCCTACACCTTGGTGTCCTGGAGGTCCTTTAAGCTTCGCTCGAGCCTAGCTGCGGAGGCACAAGCATGTGCCATGGCCCTGGACGAGCTCATGATCGTGAAGGTCTTCTTCGGCATGATGCTCGACCCCAGCGCAGAGCGGCAGGGGCAAGTGTGCAATCGTGACCGACGCCAAGGCCTTGTATGACGCGGTGAAGCGCGAGAACATTGCGCAGAGCCTGGACAAGCGAGCTGCGCTGGAGATCCTGTGCGTGAAGGACGCCGTCAACTCTTTGAAGGCGGAATGGAGGTGGGTCAGTAGCGAACGGCAGATGGCCGACGGTCTGACCAAGCTCGCAGCCCGCCAGGGCATGGCCGACATCATGGAGCATGGCATGGGGCAGCTGGTGCACAACCGGACTTCACCGCGGCTAAGAAGAAGTCGCACAAGGAAATCGGGGAGAGCATGACGGGAACGATCAAGAAGAAGGGCAACAGCAAGGGAGTCAAGTCTGGCTCCAAGGTGGCGGATGCGATCATGGTGGCAATGGCGGCAAGCACTGCCACTGGTGCCAAGGCAGAAAGGCCAGAAGAAACTGGCTCGGCCGGCGTTTTGGACTTCGATCGTCTTCTTGGTGGAGGTTTTGGCCTTCTTGGTGGGCCGCCTTTGGAGCCGTAAGACCAAGCAGGACCTGGCTGACAAGGTCGAGAACCTCAACGGCAAGGTCAAGCATGCCGAAGAGGTGGCGAGGTTGGCACGCGAGGACGCGAGCTACTGGGAGGAGGCAGTGAGCCGGGTGCAGTGGGACATAGACCAAATTAGGTCTCGGAGATTTTACATGGCAAGGCGAGGTGCAAGACTGCATTTCCGCCCGCAGTGCCAGTATTTGCAGCACAGTCAGATTGAGCTGCGGCCATGTGAGCTTTGTGCAGCGCTCACTTGAAGCCTTTTCCCCTGTGTGAAGAACGTGCCACATTCTTGGGCCTGCATATCGAATCCGATGGCCCCTTTTATCCTCAGGTGCGGAGGGACTGTCTAGATGACTTGAGCCACACCGGCTGCGCCCATGGAAAAGACCGCTTAGGCGGCGTGCTTCGTGTTCACTTGGGGGACCTTGTTTGCCCTCAGTTCTTGTTGCTCCTGAAATGGGGTATCCCACACACACTGGCGCTCGCATGAAGAAGCCTGCCTACAGGCTGAACGATGCGCCGCGCAGATGGTGGAACACCCTAGATTCGGCACTCCGTTCATACGGATTAGTGCCAACACGAGCAGATCGTTGTACGTATGTTTACTACGGTAAACAGCTTCCGAAATCAACACCGATCAGCAAAAAGAAATCATCCAACACATTCGATTTAGAAGGCGCAGTTGAGTACCTTATGGATCCTGTTTCCGGTAACAACGCCAAGAACTGACAAGCTCATGGAGCTCTATCTCTTCATGTCGTTGATCTTCTTATGACCGGTGATGATGTGTTTGAGACGGAGGTCATGGGACGGCTTTGTGAGGATTTCCAAGTTGGTTCCGAAAATAAGAATGATTGCCTTTTCGTGGGACAACGCGTCCAATGGAAGCAGGGCGACAAGCACGGTTGGCACATTAATGTTCACCAGAACGTTGTCATTGACAAACTTCAGGAGATTGCATTCGACAAGAACTTGAAAGATGACACCTCGCGCCACAGACAGTGCACACAGAAGTGTTCTAGCTCAGACCAACTGGCTACATCGGTTACCAATTCTCCAGGTGCGCATCCAAGGCAGCATCGCTGATCATTGAGGACGCTCGCGCCATCAATAAAACAGTCAGAACCATCAAGAGCATCCCTCTTAGCATGAGATTCTGGCCCCTTCATGGGAAGACACGCATAATTGGCTATCCAGGCGCATTGCGCCGCAATAATGAAGATAAGCAATCCCAACGTGCGCATGTTGTCTTCTAGCAGAGGAACGAGATCTCCGACGAGGTACATCGAACTCGAGAGGTTCACTGGCTGATTGCGAGACGCATAAGATCACCGCTACAACCATGTCCACAACTGTTGCATAATTTCATGGACTCATGCGTTGTTACGGTTCAGCTTTGTTTTCTAGCGCGGTCTCTGGTCAGACATTACAGGCGAAATTGCAAATGTTCACATTCGGACTGATGCCAACAATTTGGTTACGACAGCATCAACGACCCATCAACCAGAACAGAAAGAAACCGTGCGCTTGATTCAAATGTTGCGAAAGGAAAGTAATAGAGGACAGATGCATGATCTTGCACATGTACGAAGTGAAGATTGCCTAGCCGATTCGCTGACGAAACACTCAGCAAAGCCAGACGAGCTCATCAAGGCCGTCCTTACGGGCAATCTGTTAAATGTCGATGCGCGTCCGCCATTTCGTACCATGTTGCAGAACAAGGCATTCCTGGTTGAGTGGCTCTCACACAACACAAAGCACGGACCCGACATCTCAGCAGAATCCATGTTTCCTTATTGGGGAACCTGGGTATGACCGACATGTCCACAGAATTTGACGCATGAATTCTTCCTTCTTCGATTTCTCAATTCCTCAACGCCGTGTTGACCTTTTGCACTCAGCTATTCTTGAAACTCAAGAAATATGTGCCTGCATCCGCAGCCGCAGCCGATTTGGATCCCGACCAATTCGATCTTGTGTGCGCAATACCGCCATTTCTCAGCTGCGTCGAAGAGAAGGGCATCACCGCTGAGGGACCCTCCTGTCCATGATGAACAAGAAGAACTTGATGATGGAGCAGATGAACGAAGAAGATTGCACCATCCAATGCTCAGGCAACCAAGGATGTCGACATGGACCAGGCCGATTACGATCGAGAATCGTGCAAGAATCCGACACAGAGGAAGAAGAGAAGAGGAAAGAGCAACTCCTCGGAGAGCTAGCCAAAGCAGAAGGCCATGCCTATGAACCCAGCGGCGCTTCGATTGACACCGAAGATCAAGGCATCGCCTCAGGGCGCCATCGATGAGGAGACAGAGTCTGACAACTACTGCAACAACCAAGAAGGCTCCACCTCCATCAATGTATCAATCAAAACGGATCACATTGATCAAGTCCGAGAGGATGACCATTCGCCTCCTGAAGGAGCCCGGTTATCCTGATCCATTTTGGCGCAGCAAATTTCTAAGCTGCGTCCAGGCCCACGGAGACAAGGTTTTCTAGCTAAAGGCGCTTGGCGGGCTCCTACATTCCAAGGACAGAGAGTGCCTACATGGACTAGACCAAGAAGATCTACAGTATTTGCTGCCACGCCAGTGCAGATCCGGAGGATTACGGATCAGATATCATTCCAATGGTACGTCACAACAGACAGCTCGGCATCATAAGAACCATCATAAATGCAGAATCAAGGCGCAACAGCTCGTTCACTTCGTCCTCTGGAGAGTAGAGAGATTGCGCAGATTGTTCTCTCGATGTCTGCGACACGATCCCAAGCAGAGAAGCACCCGTGAGCTCAAGAGAGCTTTGTCTCGAATGATTTGGATGCACAAACAGTTTCTCTCTTGGAGTGATCCTCGGAAGCGACAGCTAAGGTCAATTGGACCTTGCGTCTCACATATCACACAACTCCTCCAGCCAGCGCCAACATCCACAGCCTTGAGCAAGGCGCTGCACCGATCCTCCTCAGCATCAGCCAGAAGGCTTTGCTGGAGCGGCAAGAGTGAAATCACATGGAGAGATTGCTGCAAGAGGGCTCACAAATTATGTCTACGATGATGACAACAGCATCAAGTTTCCTGTCTCTCCATTGATAAATGTGAACTTGGTTTCGGCCGGAGTGTACTGGTAGGGCTTTGTTGCCCTGCGTGCCGTTGAGGTACTGCCGGAGCACTTCATGGACAGCAGATCTGGAGGCGTGGCTTTGACACCGGCGGCTTGCTGATGCGCAGCCTTTCTTTTTGCATTAGCATCTTGTACTGATGCTATGAACTCTAGTGACTGTGCCGTGTGAACAGGCATCAAGTCCATCCAGGCTGCCTTCAATCCCATCAAGAGAATTTCCAAATTTTGATGTGAATATGAGGAACTCGCTGTTCTGCCTTCTGTGAGTGAAGCTGTACAAGCACACGTTCGTCGAGCCCTTCAGGATGAACTTCTTCATCGTGTTCTTGAAACTCCTTCTTCAGGATCTTGCAAAAGATCACTCCGGAGGACTGCCTTGTATGAGCCTGCTCTTGAGGAGTGGGTCCTCTCTTGGTGCTTCGATTGTTGTGAAGGTCACCCAATCATCTACGAGTTCTTCATATCTAAACCAGCTGACTCTTCTGTCGTACGATGGCGGCTGCTTGGCGGTCATCAATAAGTTGATCGTCTCTTCAGTGAAGCCATGGGGCCGGCCAACATTTGAGTAGGCTTCCATGGAGCCTTCTCCATCGAATGACATCTTGCTTGGATCTCTTGCGGAAAGCCCGCTCTGCTAGGCGCGCTGCCAATATATCTTATCCCCAAAGGGAACCGATACTTTGCAGCATTAGAGGATCTTTATGTGGTGGCAAGTGTCAATACTGATGGATTGATACTGGATAAGCCCTAAGAGCCGGCTGTTGTGATTTATCCTGAAAGTGGTCCGCTAGCACCTTTGTATCACGGATGCAATGGCTCAGTGAGCTATGCACATCGGAGGCGTGACACGAACGGCCCTGAGCCAAAAATGGTAGCGTGTTGCATGGAGATCCATGGGGGTGTGCGCCGCATCTATTGGCGGTTTGACTAATTTGTCCATCTACCGTAGGATGGCGCCGATGCGACATTTCGTGCGCCGCTGCTGGCGGTTCTTTCCAAAGAGCGCGGCGACTTGGGCCGCGCGGTGCACGTGGAGCGGCACCCCAAACTCGGGTTAGTGGAGGCGGCCGCGGCGGCTCTGCATGGTGACCAAAGCGTGCGTGCAGCCATGGCCATGGGCCGCGCGAAGGAAAAGACAAGCCAAAAAGCCGAAAAGACGAGCCAAAAACAAGTTTAGCGTCAGAACTTCATTTGCCTCAGGCAGAGACTGAAAGCTCAGCCTTGACTCCAGGACATAGCGCTCAAGCGGACTTGCGAAGAGCTGCGAGTCAGCGAGCACTTGGCCTTGGCATTCCTGGCCCCAGAAGCGTGGCTGATGCTCGTGAGCAGGTGCTCAACGCATCTTAATGCGCGCGGTTTCCTTCCCTTTTAACTATTTTTCCATATCGTTCTCGCCTTTTTTCTCTGCTTTTCTGCAGCTTGTGACTTGGTGACTTGGTGACTTGGTGACTTGGTGACTTGGTGACTTGGTGACTTGGTGACTTGGTGACTTGGTGACTTGGTGACTTGGTGACTTGGTGACTTGGTGACTTGGTGACTTGGTGACTTGGTGACAGGTGTGAGGACTTGGAGGACCAGGTGGCTCAGGCCAAAACGTTTCTGCGGGCGTCCGTGGGCTCCAGCCCCGGCAGCGCCGTGAACGCCGCGCTGCAGCTGGCGGCGCTGGGCCGCCGCCTGCCCACGCTGGCGGAGGACGCCTGTGAGGAGATCTGCAACGCGCTGCCCAAGCTGCAGCCCTTGCACCCTGTCATCGAGGCCAGAAAGAGATGAAAGAGCATGACAAGCATACAGACATGAGCAAATAAGTAAATGTGAGTAAAGTTTGTGTTGCGCACGTTGTATGCGTATGCGGCTTACTGTTACATTTGATTACCCTGCTTTTTCTGTTCCAATGGCGTGCCAATATGTTTTTGCCTTGCATTCGTATTCACGGAGAGACAAGCTTGTCACATGTCCGAACGTGCTCTTAGGCCTTCGCGGCCTTGATGCAGTCCCTTCCACCCAAGAGGCGAGGGGAAACCTGAAGTTCTGAAGCGCGCTGAAGCAAGTGTAACAAGTCTGTCTGAGTGGGGAAGCCGGAAAGCCTGTGACTCGTCAGGCGCCCGGTAGTCCTGAAGCACATCAACGCAAGCTTGGCGAAGCAAGAAGGCCAGACGGGCTTGAGCGTGGATCTCATGGGCTTGTAAAACGAAGACAAAGCTCAAAACATGCCTTGGCACACATTGAAACAGAAGCCGCCTCAAGCTTGCCCAAGGATAAGCCTGCACTGGAAAGGGGAAAAATATGAATAGGGAAAATGCATGCAGGCCAACGCTCTGGTCTTACGTGCGTTCCAGCACAGAGGTACTGGCAAATAAGGGCAAAAGACAGTTACAGGCAAAAACACAACTTGCTTTGGCAGGTTGTTCTGGTCATTGTCCGTCTGAATTTTGTTTTGGGTCTCCGGAGTCCAGTTGTGGTTGTTGGTCGAATGATAGGCGCAGAGATTCTTTGCGTGTGCGTTTGCGCGGGCGAGAAGGACTGGGAGCCGGCTTATTGAATTGGGTTGAGGAGCATTGCAATGGGTGGTTGTGGGGGAAGCTGACAAGCTGCTTGGAGGTATCATTGGTCCATTGTGTGTGTGTGGCTCAGGCTTAAAGTTGGCAGATATTCCTTTTGCTGGCATGGGTCAGGCACAGGGCTGGATTTACACCTTGGTACCAGTAGCTGCCAGCCCCGTCGACCATCCCTTATAAATGTTTGACTCCACTCCGTAGACTTCATTTAATCTCATTTCTCTTTGCCATGCCAAGCCTTTTCTATTCTCTTCCGGCAGTGGGGATGGCATTGGAAAAAGCTTGGTGTTTGCTTCCTTCCCCCATTTGCCCATGAATCAATCCTGCCCGCAACCGGATTCAGGTAACGGCTCTACAAGTTTCCATGCAACGGCTCAACGGCTTTTGCAGGCTTTGCAGACTTGCTGGAGCTGGCTTTTGGATCCTGGGGCGAACGGAGACGCGACACTTTGCCACGTTGCATGATGTATCTGGAGTCTGAAGCACGGGACGACAACTACTGGATGCTTTGGTTCTGGATGCGCTGGGTAGTTCCTGCTTTGCCAGAGCGCACCCTGCTGCTTTTGAAGCTGCGAGAAGCCCTGGAAGAAGGCAAGATTGCAGCTGCCCTGCCGCTGAGTGCATTGCTGACGTCCGGACATATCAAGGATTCCCAAAGTGTGCAAGCAGTGCAAGCGGTCTATGCAGCTTTTCTTGGTCTTGGCGGAGATGATGAACCTCTGCTTTGGCTGGCGGCTGCCCGCTTCTATGCATTTCAGAAACGCCGCTGTGCCGTTGATCCACTACAGCACAAGCTGCGTACCACACTGCAGGCGTGGGCAAGACACTGCACTGCATGCTTGCACTTTGTCCTACTTCCCACTTAGTCCCCCTTTGTCTTTGTGTCTTTCAGCTTGTCTTTCTCAAGGCCTGGCTGGCAGCACCATGCGCTTTGGCTCACCGCCCATGGCGTGATCTTGCTGCATGCGAGTTTTGCGGCCTAGCGCTGACATGGCCACAGGCGGGGAGGTGGCGCCATAGCTTTGATCTCTTGCCATGCCATGAGCTGGCAGGCGCAGTTTATGTGGCTGGAGGCTTCAGAAGCAGAGACATTGCTCAGCTTTTTGCAGGGCAAGGTGCGCCTTGATGCATTTTTAGCTTCTAGATGTTTGCAAAACACAAAGCTGTTGCAGTGGACGAGCACTCTTTGCTGGCACGTTTTGAAACGGTGCGCTGGGCTAGGGGAATGCCGAGCTGCAGCGTTCAGCGCTGCTCGGCGAAGCAAAGTGATACGTTCCGATTTTGCTGAGCATCCTCTAAGGCGGGTTTTTTTCCAGATGCGCGATTAAGGAATGCAAAATACGTTTGCCTTGGTTGACAATAAAATATCATATTGTATCTCCGTCCAGTGCTCGTTGCAGTGTGCTTAGGCGTCCTGCAGATACCACCAGCGCACTTTGCATCGGGCTTTTGCTTCAGAACCTCGACAAGGGACTTGAATGGGGAGATATGGGGAGATATGGGGAGATATGGGGAGATATGGGGAAATATGCGGAGATATGGGGAGATATGGGGAGATATGGGGAGATAGGGAGGCATTTGGCTTCGAAGTCGTGCACGCGACCGGGTCCCCGGATCCTGCGACTGCTTAGGAACCTCAAGCAACAACAACCTGCGTGCGTAACAGCGCCTTGGACAAACGGTGAGCGTATTTGTGCCAATGTGGGCTGTGCCGTTGACTGTTGCCTGCATCACCCGGGTGTATAGCCTAGGCAGTGCTGAAGACAAACTCACTGCTTTGTGCCTCAATATCTGCACTTGCTGCGATGGGAGGTGCAGTCGCACCCTCAGCCTTGGAATCCTTGGAATCCTTGGAATCCTTGGAATCCTTGGAATCACGGACCTGACAAAACTGTTTTGAGCCTTGAGCCACGTGAGGAGCTTCGCTTAACCTCGGCAGCCACTGCCTTGACGCAGATGAGTGGCTTGCACGTGCGCGAGCTCCTGCAGCGTGCTCAGCGAATTGCACCAACTGACGAGTGCAGTGTAGCACTCATGGATCAGGCCAATTTGCATGCTGTGGAGTACAGTCATAGTCATGGGAAGTTGCAAGGCAGGCTTTGGCTTCGTTGCCCACGCTGCCTGATTTGCGCCTGGGTGTGTATTTGCGCAACATCCTGGAGAGCCAGGACATGGTGAGAGTCCAGACTTCCAGACTTGTTCATTTCGCCATGCAATTATTTGCTTAATTATGTATGCTGTGACATTGCCGTGTGCATGTCAAGGACGTTGATTCAATCCCAGCCCTGCTTCAGTTCATCAAAGCTCATGCGGGTGCAGCAGCTTGTCACGTGACAGTCTTGCAAAGACAGTGGTTTTATGGCAGTGAGAACCGAGGACCCATCACTGGCAGCTCTGTGGCTGGACATCGGAAAGCATGAAGCCCTCCACGAGAACCACATTCTGGAGGGCTGGAGGGCTGGAGGGCTGGAAGGTTGCATTGTATAGGTCTTGTATAGGTCTTGTATAGGTCTTGTATAGGTCTTGTATACTCTACTCGTGACTCGTGACTGCGCCAGCTCGAGCGCTCTTGGCAAGGCCTTTGCGCGCACACTGACTTTGGCCCTGGTGTCTCAGCTGCAGGTCCTTGAGGCGAGAGCGTGTTGGGTTTGCATCTTGTCGTTTCTAAGTTGAAGCAAGCTAAGCAAACCATGAGGCTTAGTGATAGTGATAGTTTGTAGTTTGTGCACGAGTCAGCTGCACAATGCCTGTACATGCAGGTGCTGCATCGTTTGTTCGCCTCTTGCGTGAAGCACCTTGACCGAAGCACATAGCGTGTAGCTTCCCGCTGCTGTCCTCACTTGAAGCATTTTAGAGCCCTTGAGGAATCAATGGTGGACTGCCCTGGCGCACCTTGGTGCATTTGAATTGTCTCATTTCAAGCTGTTCCATTTGTCGCACTCAGGGAGCTCATTCGCAACCTGGCGAGTGTTGCGAGTTGGAAGGAGTGCCAAGACTTGGAGGCAAGCCCAAGAAAGCCGGTTGATTGGTAGCCTTGACAGTCCTGAATTCATTGGCAGGCCTTGCAAGGGCTGCAAGCCTTAGCCGATCCCAGCTGGCACGCCCAGCTTCGTTGGTGACGTTTCGTTTTTGGAGCAAAGTGAACTTGACAGGAGAGCCGCGGCAGCGCTGGCAGAGCTTTGGCAGGCCAGGCGGGACTGAAGCATCTCGCGAGCAGATTTGCACTGGCTCCCAGGCGTTGCCTCAGATTTGGGTTGCAGGCAGAGACGCGGAGCGCTTGAGATGCAAACAAAGCTCACTATGTTTGACTGAGTCAAAGAGGGATTGAGATGGCATTGTTGACATTTGCCGACCTCTGAATCCCACCTGGACCTGTCTGGCAGACGCGCCGTTGTTGACACTTGGTGCCCTACATTTGCGCGGTGTGCTTCCTCTTTCGGCTCTTCGTGGACATCGCGACAGAATTCTCCAGGTGAGTATGCGCAAGGCGTGGCTCGCGTCACTTGCATTTCGCTTCAACACCAGGGCACCTCAGTATGGCATACGCACCTCCTTGTGCGGAGCCAAGATGAGCCTTATGTTGGAACGCAGCACCTGCAGGCCAGCAATCATTACAAGCAGTTCATGCCAGGGTCACCAGTGCATTCATGAACCATTGCACACATGTCGCCATTTAGCTCAAGCAATGCCTATATCGTTTCACAACAGTATCGTGATTGGTGGCGGCATAGACACAAAAGATCGACCTACGGAGAGGGTACTGTTTCGAGGATAACCGGGATACCGTGACCTTTCCGAGGGGCAACATAACCACTGTTGCCGGGGTACCAAAGAAACCTCTCGGTTTCTCAGGTTATCAGCTGTAGGGCTTGTCCCACATGCTGCGAGACAAAGATTGATTCGAAGTTAGAGGTCTTGAGCCCAGCTTCATATTGAATCACAATGTCCGACAAGAGATCTTCGACAATTTTCTGGGCCTGCGGCCTCTAGCCGGCTACGCCTCTTTGAAGTTGTACCACGTCATGTCATGTTTTTGGTATGAGAAACGTATCCTGTGCTATGATATGGCTGGTTAGGTTATGCATGTTGCCCACCCCAACCCCAGATGATGCCGGGGATGCCAGCTTTCTGGGCCCCAGCCGGCCCCAACCCAGAAGGCTGACATGGGGTCGCGCACGCACACGCCAGAGGCCCCAGAAACAGCAGCCCAAAAAGAGCAGCAACAAAACACCTGGGGTCGCGCGCGCGCTTTTTGAAGCCTCTCGTGGAGGCAATTTGCATCATTTTGAAAGTTTAACTGGCAGTTGGTTCCAGATTTCTTGTTTTTGGCTTTCTGCAAAGAAAAATGCATTTTTGATTGTGCCAGTTTTTGCAATTGGAAGTTGAACAACTCTTGCCAGAAGGCCCGAAAACCAACGCGGAAAAAGCAAGGACCGCGCAGCACGCGAGCCAGCCACAGCAAAAGCAAAACGGACAGAACAACAGCCCAACGCTCAGCGCAGCAGTTTTCGCGGTATTTACAGCGTTTTGTAGAGCGAGGGCCAAGCATCGCCGGCGTGCGAGGCAGCGCTTGGCGCCAAAATGCGCAAAAAGGAGCCTCGCCTATATCCCTCCGATACCTTCTAAAAAACACTTCTTCATGGGTTGAGAGGCTTTTTGGAAGGAAGTCTTGATGATGCAGACCAAGCCCCAACCCCACACCCTGACGATGTCAGCCACGTGGCCTAAACCCTGCATATACGCGATGTTTTGCGAGGGTTTCCCACAGGCAAGCAAAACCGCAAGCCCGAGCTGGTGATGCAGAGGTGCCGGATTTAGGCAGCGCATCACGACCAAGTGGCGAGCGGCGGCCAGGGTAGGAGGCGTAGCTGGATTTAAGGGCTGCCGCCCTGTGCCGCCGGCCCCTGCTTGCTGACAGGGGACGTTGTTATGACAATTACGACTACGCATTTCTTGTCGGGTTTAACGGCACACTTAAAGCATATATGAAAAAGAAGAGCCGCGCGATAATGATGATTTTTGATGATGCAGTGTTTTACCCAACGTTCGGGATGCTGATAATTATTGTTCTGCATTCGCAATATCGCCAGTTGTGATGATAATTGTTACTTTGCATTTTTAGCATCACCAGCAGTTGTTCTGATAATTATGACGGCGCATTCCCTGCATCTCAAGCAAGCCACTGCGGGATAAATTCGCATGTTAATAAGCACGTTGAATTTTACAAGAAGTGCCCCCGTGTGGGAAGTCGGGCAGGAAAACCATGGTGGGGGCCATTTTTCTTTTCAAGACTTTGATGTATTGCTGTGGATGCGAAGCGTGAACTTTGTGCCATCGCTTCGTCTTCGCGAGAAGTAAGCCGTTAGGAACACCTCCGGATGCAATCAGACGATGATGGTGATGATGATCATGATGATGATGATGAACTATGCACCCCCGGCATCACCAACGGCACACTTGAAATGTGTGTGTGAAAAAGAAGAGCGCCATGGTTTTGATGAGGAACATGATGCGGAACATGATGATGCTGATGGTGATGGTGGTGGCGAACACGATGATGATTCAATGATGATGAACATGATGATGATGATGAAGATGATGATGATGATGATCATGTTGATGATGAACATGATGATGATGATGAACATGGTGGTGGTGATGATGAACACCCCCATCATCACTTCCATCGTCATCATTATGATCATCATCTCCATCATCATGTTCATCATCATCAACATCATCATCATGTTCATCATCATCATGTCCACCATCATCATCGTTTGCATCATCATCCTGATGATAATCAACACTACGCATCCTCAGCATCACCAGCGTTTAACGTCATCGCTTTGCATCCCCCGCATATATTCTCTGGATCTCCAGTCGGGTCCAAAGGCACACTTGAAACGTATATGAAAAAGAAGAGCGCCACGCATGAACATGATGAGGAACATGATGATGCAAATGATGATGGTGAACATGATGATGATGGTGAACATGATGATGATGGTGAACATGATGATGATGAAGATGCTAATAATACATGATGATGATGAAAACCACCATCAACACTTTCATGATCACTTTCATCATCATGTTCATCATGAATTTCATTATCATCATTTTCCTCACCATGTTCATGTTCATCATCAGCATCATCATTTTCATCATCATGTTCATCACCAGCATCATCATTTTCATCATCATGGTCCTCAACATGTTCATTATCATCATCATCATCATCACCCTGATGATACCCATCACCACGCATCCTCACGCGCCACGGTTGAACATGATGAGGAACATGGTGCAAATGACGATGATGATGAACGTGATGATGATGATGAACATGATGATAATGTTGATGATGATGAACCTGATGATGAAGATGATGATGATGACGATGATGATGAACACGACGATGATGAACACTGCCGTCATCACTCATCATCATCATCATGTTCATCATCATCATGTTCCTCAGCACTTTCATCAGTATCAGTATCATCCTGATGATAATCATCACTATACGCACCCTCAGCATCACCAGCAGTCAACGTCATATGCATCAGCAGCAGTTATCATGACAATCATGCACACGTGAAACGTCATTTGAAGGGACACCGGAATCAGCCGGTCATGGGAGTGGAGACACTATCGTTGTGAGTCGGCGAGCCAGCAGAGTGATGCCGGCGTTGATCAGCCCATGGGAGCAAGGGCTTCTCGAGAGTACTGTCAGAAGAAGATGATGGGCGGACACGCCCCAAGTGACCCCGGAAAGCCCAGAGAAACTCGGAAGTGCCGGTGAGCGAAGCTGCCGAGCAGTATGACGAGAACCGTGCATTGAGGGAGGAATGCGCATCGTTACGATCATCTGTAAAGGACCTAGAATTCGACGAGGCGGGAAGCCTGCAAAGGATTCTGGGGCTTGAGAGCACGAATCATACGCTGGAATCCCAAGTTGCGCATGTTCATGGGAGAATGAGAGATGAATACAACTTGGCGATGGACCAGCTAAGCATCAAGGAGGCTGAATGAGCTTAAGGCTATGGCCTATGATTGCAATAATGAAACTCAACAGATGCGGACGGAGAACAGTGAGATCTCAGCTTCGTTACGGAAAGCGACCGAAGCCACCAATGAGTATCAATCCATGGTGCGCTGGTACCGACTTGCGGACCAAGCTGAGTCATGAGAACTAGCATCTTCCATCTTTGTTGGTGACTATGTTGCTGTGGTACATCTCCGCGCTTCTCAGCTTGGCTTGCATAGTCGATTCTTCTTGTTTCATTGATCCAAACCTTGAGGGATCAAATACAGCACCTAGTGACTAGTGAATCGAGGAAAGAATGGTTCCGATCAGCATGAAGGCTGTCATTGAACTGCTGCATAGACTCGTCGTGCTTCTCCAAAACACTGTGCTGGTTCTGGGCTATGCTCTTGACCCGTTTCATGTTCTTCTTCATCAGCTCCGCTTGCTCCTCCGCCATTTCGGTATAGACCGGCGCGCCGTGACTCTCCTTCATGGCTTCGGATAGCTCAGTCCTCAGATTGGAGGCCGTTGTCTCTTCTTGGTTCAAATGGCTCCTTAGTCGATCACCTTCCAGTCTGGCTGAGAAGAGCGTGGAGTCTAAAGTCAGAGTACATGGCTGCCAGGGACTGAGAGAAAGGCAGAAGACGAAGCCAGAGATTTAGAGGATGGTATTGGAACAACTGCGTAGCACTTGTGACAGACTCAGAAACCACAGGAACGATGAACTGGACGAATTCACCGAGCGATACGATGAGCCAGTCAAGGACCAATCCGTTACATTGCCCAAGCTTGGGCCACACCTCGTACCAAGGTCAAGGAGCGGATCACCTATCGACTTCGTGGCCGACAACTGGACATGTGGAAAGGAAAGCTACTGTCGAACGTTCTGGCAGGATGCGGTGATCCCGATGATGGAGTTTGGTCAGCGTGGCTTGCAGAGGCCTTTAGCCCTGTTGCCAGTGTAGATGGAGAGCTTCCGAACCTTGTTCTCGGAGTGGAACACTTGTATAAGTTGGCGTACCCGGAGACAGGAAGATGGGAGAGCAACGATGGCCAGAGATCATTGCCGGAAAAACAACCGGAGTCTGTTCCTCAGGAGGAAGAGTTGAGAGACACGCCGTACCGTAAGTTGAAGGGGGATTTGAAGGAATTGGAGTTGGATTTGAAATTGTATGAGCACATGGAACGGGGCGATCCCGCTGAGACGCATAAGTGCTTGCTCAACATGATTGATCCGCCGGTGAAGGGCAACGCGCTTCCCGCCAGAAAGCTGCAAGAAGTCAGAAAAAGTCCAGAAAAGACCCCGCACGCATAAGTGCGTGGCTAAACGGCACGCATCGCTCCTCCCTCTCCCAAGCAAAAGGCAAAGCCCAAACCAAAGGCAAGGTCCGAAGCGAAGGGTGCTCAGGATTCAGCTCCGGTTCTTCCAGCCAGGAAGAAGGCAAAGGAGAAGGCTAAGCCACGGGGGGAGGTTACCTTATAAGTCCAGAGATCCTTCGCCTGAAACGAAGAGCGCTCCATG